GGGGGGACAGCCGTTGGGGGGGACAAGCTGGGGGGGGACAGTTGTGGGGGGACAACCGGGGGGGACAGCCTGTGGGGGGACAGCCGGGGTCTGCTGCGCTGTCCCCGGGGGAGGGCAGCCCTTCCAACCTGCTGCCTGGGGCTCCTCCTGGTGGCCCCAGCCTGGCCATCCAGGGTGCAGGTGGTCAGAGGCCTGGGATCAGGTGGTGACATGGCGGGGTGGGAGAGCCATCCAGGCCTGTCCTGGGGCTTTAGCTACAGGGTATTCAGAATGGAAAGTAATCCAAAAAAGAATACATAAATAAAGATGACATTGTGATTCTGAGGAGGGAGCTCTCCCAACAGGAAAGAAGTGAGCTGGTGTCCTGGAAGGCACCCACTGGGGGACGGGGTTCTGACCTCTCTCAGCCGAGCTCTGGCTCTCATGTTGAAGTGCACTTCAGAGTCATTCCGGGGGGCTGACCTAAAATGCGTCCGGCCCAGAATGATGGCAGCCCTTAAGCCTCCCCAGACCTCCACGGAAAAACCATGTGGCAGAACCCAGATCCCTCGGGCCACACTGATGACAGTACTCCTTAGGTGTGAAGGTGCCCCCTGACCCCAGAGTACAGTTGGATGGGGACAAACCAATGGCCACAAGCCTGTGTGGTGTTAGCATTGTGCTGGAGGGAAGGAAGCAAGGAGGAGCCCCAAATAGCCCTCGGGGGTTCACTGGAAAGCTTGGGGGGTGGTCCCACTGAGACCAGCAGCTGAGATTGGAGGTGTTCTGTCCAGACCGGGAGCAGGGAGCTCGGGGCCACAGGAAGGTCTGGGGCTGGAGCAGCCTGGGGGCCCATGCGTGGGCTCTGATGCCAACCAGAGAGAGCGTTCTGCCCATGGCAGGACCCACTCAGAGCAAAACCTTCTGGGAGGGAACTCAAAACTGAGTGGGACCCCTGTCCTTGACCACAGGGAGGAAGGAAGGAGGAGGCACAGATAAAAACAGGGAGGCTGTGGAGCCAGGAGCTTGGGACACTGTCACACACTCAGCTATGGTATGAGAACATCAGAGGAGGGAGCTCGGAGAACCTGGCCCCCTGGGAGTCGGGGGACCTTGCCTCCTGGGAATTGGGGACCTCGAGCCCCCAAAGTTGGGGAACCCTTCCGCACAAAAACAAGCAATGGGAACAAACTGAGCATAACACTAGTGCCCCCCCACCCCAAAACCGTTAGAATAAAAGAGAAAATGGGCAGGTAATATCTCCCCTGATCGCGAGGCCACTTGGAGATACACCACCTGGTCAGAGAGGTGACAGCCTGTGGAAGAAGCACGAAATCAGAACAGCTCAGAAGCGAGGATGCAGGACTCAGCAGAAAATACGAGCAAAGTCGTTTCAAAATGAAAACTGAAGGAGAAAACCCAAGAGGGAATAAAAAGAATACATTCCCTGAGAAAAGTTGGAGGTAAAAAGGAGGGATGTTTAAAATTAAAAAGAAATGAAGGTTAAAACGAAGTATAAAAAAAAAAAAAGAAGTCAGAATCCCAGCGCGGAGCTGGGGAAGTCCTTGCAGAAATCCAAAGCAAAGGAAGAGAATAAACAAGCCAAGAAGACTCCCGAATTGTCAAAATTAGGTCTTGAAAGAGCAAGTCACAAATCTGAGAATATCTCCTCAGAGGTCACCGGAAGAAGCAAATCTTTGGGGCACCTAGGGGCAGTGCTTTATGCCAGAAGACAGTAGGGCCATATTTATGGTTCCCAGGAAAGAAAAGGCGAGCCAAGGGTCTCCTTAAAACTGACCTACAGGGGCGCCTGGGTGGCTCAGTCGTTAAGCGTCTGCCTTCGGCTCAGGTCATGATCCCAGGGTCCTGGGATCGAGCCCCGCATCGGGCTCCCTGCTCCGTGGGAAGCCTGCTTCTCCCTCTCCCTCTCCCACTCCCCCTGCTTGGGTTCCTGCTCTCACTCACTCTCTCTCTCTCTGTCAAATAAAACTGACCTACAGGTTGGAAGGGCAGAGGAGGAGCTCAGTCCACAGCGTTCTGGGCCCTTCCGGGGGATTTGTTAGCAGGCGAGCCTCGGACAGCCACTGGCTGGAGAGAGACGGGCAGCGAGCAGGGCCACGGGAGGTTGGGTGGGACAGGAGTGGCGCGCACAAGGCCGTGCTTTGTGCTTTCAGAAATTGCAATCGGCAGTGGTGGATTAGGGTGCTTATCTCCACACCGCAACATGGGGTCAGCAAACGAATAATGACAGACTATTCAAACTCTCTTCTCCCTTTTGAAGAAGGGAGATGCAGACATCCCAAAGAAAAGACTCAAGAAAAACCTGTAGGTCCGGATTTATCTGGGAAGAAGTGTTGGTGTGAACTCAGCAGAATATTACTGTAAGGAAAAAAAAAAGCAATGACCATTTCCAGATTTGGGTCTTGAAATACTTTCCACCAGAAGAAACCAGGGCCTCCTGGAGAAACAGCGGTTGCACGTCTGGGCGTCTCATGAGGCTGGGGAGCAGGGAAGCTGCCAGGGGACGGCAGTGGATGGAGACCCACCAAATACAGGTAAATCCAGGAGTTCGTAGCGATGTTCAGCAAGGGAAGACTGGAGGGTGATCGAAAACGGTTCATCTGGCGAAGCGAGCGTGGACCGTGCCACAGCCACGTGTGGCTGACCATGGTGATGGGGAGCGCGCGCGTGGGAAGCCTTCCAGCTGCCAGTGCCCCGAGCAGCTCCGGGCCGCGCTCCCCGGTGAAGGGGTCGTGAGTGCCCCAGAAAGGCGCCCAGGCTGCCATGTGCCTCTGGAGCAAGAGCGGGGTCTTGCCTTCCGGCCCGGCTGCTCTCCGAGGCACCCCCTGAACCCCATGCAGCGAGCGGGCAGGAGCCAGGGGGACTAGAGCAGGGCTCTTCCAGGTTGTGACTCCTCTCCTGGTGCTGGGGTTCTGTGCTGTAAAGACCCGAGTTCCGTAGCGCCTCCCTTACAGGACGTAGACGCATTGAAGCTTGTTGAGTGTGTGGCACCCACCTCGGTGCATCCTAAGGCCTCTTTGCATGTTTGTGAGTTACCCTGGGTCAGTGTGTGAGTGCATCGGGCCTGGCTTGTGCCCTGGGGAGGGAGGGAGGGAGCGGGGAAGCAGTGTTCCCAATGCATGCTTGGAAGGGAAGCTGCAGGCACACCGTGGAGGGCCACGCCAGGCTGGTGGGCACCGTGGAGGAGTCCCGGCTGAGGCCCAGGCTCCGCTGGATTGGGGAGCAAGAGCCCTTGTTGCAGGTGCTCACAGGTTGGTCTCTGAGCTGGGCAGGTTCCCCGGGGGAGGCCAACGCTCTTTCCCTGGGAGATGGCTCAGGGCCAGATGTGGTGCAGACGTTGGACAGGCTTTGAGTCCTCACTTCACAGCCGGCAAGACCAGGGCTCCATGCTCCTCTGTTGTCTGCATGGGGCAGCAGGGATAGGGTCAAGGACGTCTGTCACAGAAGCTCCGGTATGCGGGGGTCGCACTCCCAGGTACTGGGGCAGGCGGGATCCCATGCTGGCCTGTGATCCCATTAACCAGTGCTATTCCTCCTTCCTCTTCTCCACCTGCACCGGGATAGTCTTCCTGGAAGCCAGGTGCGATGCCATTACACCCTGGCCCAGGGTGTGAGCCCCTCTCCCTGGACCCTCCCCGCCCCTGCCCGGTGCTTTGGGCTTCAAGTATCATTTCCTAGACTTCCATCCATGTTCGTTTATGTGGATGCTGTTTATTTCCCAGACATTTCTGGAGTCCCTGTTACGTTCCAGGCATTGTTCCAGGTGTGGGGAAAGCAGCTGGGAAAGAAAAGTCTTGACGGTGGGTAATGAATGACCACATGAACGTTCAGTACAGCGTCAGGGAGTGAGCTCTGAGGAAAATAGGGCGGGTAAGGAGGTGGAGAGACGGGCATCTGCGGAGGGCCAGGTCTGTGCAGAGGCCTTCGCGCCGACCCGGCCTAGCTGCCCTCCGGGGCCGCCGGGCATCCTGAGAAGGCGCGCAGGTGAGGCTTTGCGCATGCCCTGTGGCAGGTGGCAGGTGGCAGAGCCCCGTCGAAGCCCCCGGCCCTGGACCGGCCCTCTGCCGAGCCGGGGCTTCTCTGACTCTCCTCCCCTCCCACCCTCTTGCCTTCTAGTGGACATCCTCATCATGGATGACGACGACGTCCCCAGCTGGCCCCCGACCAAGCTGGCCCCGCCCCAGTCAGCGCCCGCGGCCGGCCCCCCGCCCCGGCCGCGGCCCCCGGCGCCCTACATCTGTAACGAGTGCGGCAAGAGCTTCAGCCATTGGTCCAAGCTGACGCGGCACCAGCGCACGCACACGGGCGAGCGGCCCAACGCCTGCGCCGACTGCGGCAAGACCTTCTCGCAGAGCTCGCACCTCGTGCAGCACCGGCGCATCCACACGGGCGAGAAGCCGTACGCCTGCTCCGAGTGCGGCAAGCGCTTCAGCTGGAGCTCCAACCTCATGCAGCACCAGCGCATCCACACGGGCGAGAAGCCCTACGCCTGCCCCGACTGCGGCCGCAGCTTCACGCAGAGCAAGAGTCTGGCCAAGCACCGGCGCTCGCACAGCGGCCTCAAGCCCTTCGTGTGCCCGCGCTGCGGCCGCGGCTTCAGCCAGCCCAAGAGCCTGGCGCGCCACCTGCGGCTGCACCCCGAGCTCTCGGGCCCCGGCGTGGCGGCCAAGGTGC